GTACTGTACGACATGTGCTGGGTCTACATATCGGTTTCCTAACAGGTTGTTAAGCGAATGGATTTGGCAGTAGGAGCATTCCTGCCTTTCAAAATATGTGCGGTTGCTTTGAGGTACTGGCCATTGGACAGGAGCAGGAGGCTGTAGGGCTGTGGTAGGGCAGTTCACCCGGGCAGGCCCTTGTCCGTCTGGCATCGTGTCACCTCCTCTCAACCGTGTAAGATCATAAGCTATTTTGTCAGAAGGGTACACTTCAGGCCAACGTACTGTTACGCCTATTCCTGCTGTACACTTGCGGTAGTTGTCCTTCGGCAATACCGGTACTTGGCCACGCAGCATTCTAATGCCTAGTCCCTCGTCGGCTTCAACACAGCTGCTTACAACAGCATCGCTGTGGCTCGCCCCTGGCTGAGGACGTCGCGCCCACACCATTCCTATTGGCATGTGGCATTCGCCGAAGCTAGTCAGGCCTTGTCTTTGATTAACTGCCATTGCCGCTAATGTACTGTCGAATACATATTGAGCTGAAAAAGCTGCCATAACGCCATAGCTCAGACTTGCTGCGGGGTTCATGGCGTCAATGTTAATCGCTGAGCTGGTGCTCTCTGTGTCTTCCTTGCTGCCGTCTATTTTGCCATGGGGCTGGAGGTTGTCATCCTGCCTGGCATTGCCTGAGGAGTAATATTGAGAAGCGTAACAGCCCTGAGTCGGCACCTCCGAACAAAACGTAGTGCATTGCTGTTCCCTAGTATCATGTTTAGTGCAAAAGTAAGCTTCTTTCCATGTGAGCGTGTTGTTGGCACACAGCGGTTCCTCATGGAAATGCTTGGCATTGAACTTCTGCCTCTGCTGCACACAGTCAGCTAATGTCGCCTGTTCTTGAAAACCAAAATGCTGTTGTCCAGAGAAGCACCTGCAAATTCGAGTGTCTGTCTTCTCGAGGGGGTCAATCAGGGAGTGGTCAAAATGACCACTGTCTGGAATGCTCGCGTCTATTGCCCTTAGAACCGTTTGTTCCCCACAACAGCTAGCCCTCGGTATAGCAGTTCCATGGACCGGCGAGGCCTGCGTATCCTCGCCGTTAAGTCCACCCGCCACCTTGGCATCGCTGGGGGGACGGCCGTTGGCTTGCGCCGCGCACGCAGAATGCCATTTTTGTGCATATGCTTCGTTTGACATGCACTCCTGGCTTACCGTGTGCTCCAGCCGCGACTTTTCGGTCGCGCTCCCTGACATGGTGCAGCCTAGCTCACTACCAATGCTGCGTAGAGCTGCTGTTTGACCGGGTTCCATGTTGCATGCCCCGCCCAACTAGCACATTCGGCCCTGCCACGCATGCATATGACTTGACACCGACTCCAGCTCTTAGCCACCTCATGGCCTATGTATGGGGAGTCCGTAGCCGTGATTGTGGCACGAAATGGATGCCGGGTGGCCCTCCAGCCCCTCGAAACAGCATGTTTGACCGGGTTCCATGCTGCATGCCCCGTCCAACTAGCACATTCGGCCCTGCCACGCATGCATATGACTTGACACCGACCCCAGCTCTTAGCCACCTCATGGCCTATGTATGGGGAAGTCCGTAGCCGTGATTGTGGCACGAAATGGATGCCGGGTGGCCCTCCAGCCCCACAAAACAGCATGTTTGACCGGGTTCCATGTTGCATGCCCCGTCCAACTAGCACATTCGGCCCTGCCACGCATGCATTTGACTTGACACCGACTCCAGCTCTTAGCCACCTCATGGCCTATGTATGGGGAGTCCGTAGCCGTGATTGTGGCGCAAAATGGATGCCGGGTGGCCCCCAGCCCCTCGAAACAGCATGTTTGACCGGGTTCCATGTTGCATGCCCCGCCCAACTAGCACATTCGGCCCTGCCACGCATGCATATGACTTGACACCGACCCCAGCTCTTAGCCACCTCATGGCCTATGTATGGGGAGTCCGTAGCCGTGATTGTGGCACGAAATGGATGCCGGGTGGCCCTCCAGCCCCTTAAAACAGCATGTTTGACCGGGTTCCATGTTGCATGCCCCGTCCAACTAGCACATTCGGCCCTGCCACGCATGCATTTGACTTGACACCGACTCCAGCTCTTAGCCACCTCATGGCCTATGTATGGGGAGTCCGTAGCCGTGATTGTGGCGCGAAATGGATGCCGGGTGGCCCTCCAGCCCCTCGAAACAGCATGTTTGACCGGGTTCCATGTTGCATGCCCCGCCCAACTAGCACATTCGGCCCTGCCACGCATGCATATGACTTGACACCGACTCCAGCTCTTAGCCACCTCATGGCCTATGTATGGGGAGTCCGTAGCCGTGATTGTGGCACGAAATGGATGCCGGGTGGCCCTCCAGCCCCTCGAAACAGCATGTTTGACCGGGTTCCATGCTGCATGCCCCGTCCAACTAGCACATTCGGCCCTGCCACGCATGCATATGACTTGACACCGACCCCAGCTCTTAGCCACCTCATGGCCTATGTATGGGGAAGTCCGTAGCCGTGATTGTGGCGCGAAATGGATGCCGGGTGGCCCTCCAGCCCCACAAAACAGCATGTTTGACCGGGTTCCATGTTGCATGCCCCGTCCAACTAGCACATTCGGCCCTGCCACGCATGCATTTGACTTGACACCGACTCCAGCTCTTAGCCACCTCATGGCCTATGTATGGGGAGTCCGTAGCCGTGATTGTGGCGCGAAATGGATGCCGGGTGGCCCCCAGCCCCTCGAAACAGCATGTTTGACCGGGTTCCATGTTGCATGCCCCGCCCAACTAGCACATTCGGCCCTGCCACGCATGCATATGACTTGACACCGACCCCAGCTCTTAGCCACCTCATGGCCTATGTATGGGGAGTCCGTAGCCGTGATTGTGGCACGAAATGGATGCCGGGTGGCCCTCCAGCCCCTTAAAACAGCATGTTTGACCGGGTTCCATGTTGCATGCCCCGTCCAACTAGCACATTCGGCCCTGCCACGCATGCATTTGACTTGACACCGACTCCAGCTCTTAGCCACCTCATGGCCTATGTATGGGGAGTCCGTAGCCGTGATTGTGGCGCGAAATGGATGCCGGGTGGCCCTCCAGCCCCTCGAAACAGCATGTTTGACCGGGTTCCATGTTGCATGCCCCGCCCAACTAGCACATTCGGCCCTGCCACGACTTGACACCGACTCCAGCTCTTAGCCACATCATGGCCTATGTATGGGGAGTCCGTAGTCGTGATTGTGGCGCGAAATGGATGCAGGGTGGCATGCCTTGAGATTGGAGCCCTGACCATGGGCTCTGAGCATGCTCCGAGCATGCTCAGAGCCCATATACTGGGCTCGTTGTTCCTAGGTGGCGCCCGGGTTGTCTAATGCCCCTCGCGATTGCTGCGTAGCTAAACGACTACGTTTACCTATCCAGTGCGTTGGTTATATGCCTGGAAATGCGTGCCTTGCGCATGGAGCCCTGACCACGGGCTCTGAGCATGCTCGGAGCATGCTCAGAGCCCATATACTGGGCTCGTTGTTCCTAGGTGGGGCCCGGGTTGTCCAACGCCCCTCGCGATTGCTGCATAGCTAAACGACTACGTTTATCTATCCAGTGCGGTGGTTATATGCCTGGAAATGCGTGCCTTGCGCATGGAGCCCTGATCATGGGCTCTGAGCATGCTCCGAGCATGCTCAGAGCCCATATACTGGGCTCGTTGTTCCTAGGTGGGGCCCGGGTTGTCCAACGCCCCTCGCGATTGCTGCATAGCTAAACGACTACGTTTATCTATCCAGTGCGGTGGTTATATGCCTGGAAATGCGTGCCTTGCGCATGGAGCCCTGATCATGGGCTCTGAGCATGCTCCGAGCATGCTCAGAGCCCATATACTGGGCTCGTTGTTCCTAGGTGGGGCCCGGGTTGTCCAGAGCCCAGAATCTGGGCCGAAATCGCGAGCATGCTCAGAGCCCATAATCCTGGGCTTTAATGCGAGCATGCTCAGAGCCCACAATCCGGGCGAGGACCTTACTGCTTTTTTCTTGGCTTAATAAACAGTGATTTCCCTATCCTGTAAGGGGCCATTCATATATGAAGGAGGTCCTTTTGAGTGAGGGTGCGTGAATGAGTCGAAAAAACTCAATATGCGTTCACATTGGTCGGGCGTACAGTGAGAGTCGAAATGCCGCGACCGCGACCGAACACGGGCAGCAAGGCAGGAAGCTAGCGGCTGCGTAGACCTGCCAAGATGATCTCTTCGCAGGTCTCCGCAGCCATGCGCACGCGGTAGTTGCTTGTCGCGACCAACGTTAGCAAGTTCGTCAAACTCGCACCGCGCGAGGCCGCGCAAAGCTTTCTATGAGAAAGTAGTATATCGAGAACAAAAATATGCAGTCGCGAAGTCTAGGAAAGCAACCAAAGTATGCGCTTGGCATAGGGATGCTATTTGCCAGGGGGCGCCTGCTCACGAGTTTCTTCACTCACTTCACTCAACTTCACTCATGATTCACTCATGTTTCACCTATGGAATTATTTTTTGAACTCAGGCGTTGTTAAAAATAATTCCAGGCCAAACGTAATTAAAAATTACAATCTGAACAATTTTCCCCTACGCGCTCCTACGCACTCATTCCCAAAATCACTCATATGTGAATGGCCCCTAAGGATAAATGATTATGGTCTTATCATAAGGCTGGTTTCACCGTGGTTCCTGAAGTCCATAGAAACAGGTCACTTAGGAACACTTAGGAGCGCGTAGCGTACGACTTAGGTTGGCTTAGGTTGGCTTAGGTTTGGTTTCGGACCGCGCCCACCGGCATTTTAACATCAACCAGACCGAAGCGATCTCATGGCCTGCCCAAATTGTTGTGTAGCTGGCATGGAGGGCTGACGGTGTGGTGGGGTGGTTGGGTGTGTGTTTGCGGCCGTTTACGAGGGCGGCTGACGAGGGGGGCTGACGTGGCTGCTTAGGAGAGTGTCACATGGGCGTCCCGTTTGGGAGGGTTGGTTGGCAGCGTAGTAGGGACACATGAGGGAGGCGTTTTCATCGTTGAGCGGCAGGCCAACACAGGGCCAATGGGCACATTGCACCGGCAAGCCCGGCGTCTGCGGCCCTCAGGGGCAAGTCGTCTTGCCAATAAGGAGGGTCGCAATTGCGTTGGCAGCCCGGGGGTATCAGAGGCGTGCACAGTACCTGACGCGCGGTCCTAGGTCTCAGTTGCCCTCGCTGTCACCCTCATCCGAGTCATGGCTGGGGCTATCCGTGCCATCGTCTCCCTCATCCTCCCCATCGGAGCCCGTTCCCTCATCCTCGTGGTCAGCAGACTCATCCACATCGCTGCCCGTGGGCACATCCTCGTCCTCAGACCCTGAATCAGCCCCACCCCCCTCCTCACTATCCTCCCCACTGCCGTCACGACTGCATGTGGATGCCTCGTCCTTATCCTCTGATGAACATAGAAGACGCTGAGTTTTCGCCAACTGCCGAAGTCGGTAGTGCACTTGGTTGTACGTGGCAGCACTTTCATTCAACTCCTTTACGACAGCGCCCGCTGTTACTTTTCTGTTGGTGGATTGTAGCGTGAGCACTGCTTCCTGAAACGCTGCTTCCTCGTCCGGAGTCCACTTTGAACGCTTCTTCGAAGGCTGAGTGGTAGCGTTGGGCCTAGGCCGGATATACTTTTGCCCGGCTTTGTTGTATTGCAAAAAGCTGAGAACACGTTTATACGTCAAGCCCTTCAAGCGCGTGTCGGAGCACACTTCATCATACAATAGCTTGGCAGTAAGTTTCAGTCCGCTAGAAGCAATAGTCTCGGCTGCTTTACACAGAGCGTCAACTTCATATGTTTTCATGCATTCCCTGGCCATTGTGTGTATTGAGTAATGAAGGCAATACCGAAGCCATTTGTGTCGGCCCTATTAAACTACGCTGCTGGCCTTACCGCGACAACAACCTAACGGATACCAACGTGTAGCAAGCTATCGACATGCACTTAAGGCCTCTTCTTTTGTAACTTGTTTTGTACTTTGTACGACACAGGCCAACATCACTGCTCACCCACATACACATCATTATTTTAACATCACAATACAACAAACACCTGTGCAATGATTATGTGACGAACGCTGCAGCTAGAAACTCCTCTCTACTCATAACAATCGTTCTTGACTTGGAACCACATCGCAGGTTGTCTTTGTGACTTGCATATACACATTCTAATTTCAATCCTTTTGCACGAAAAAGATGCCAAAAAGCTCACGCGAAAACTTATTGAATTTGCCGGGGTGTTCACTAAGGCTGTTCCCTTGCTTCCAAGCCGCGGCCTGGCGGAGCGTCTGGAATCAAGGGCAGGCCAAAAACAAGGTCCGGAAATGCCGACTATACAACCTTGTCATCTTGCTTAGTATCCCCGACTGTTTGTCTGTATGCGAAGGTCTGCAGGCTCAATGAGTAGGGCCCGCTGGCTCCACTCGCTCCACCCTAAGCCGGTGCTAAGTTGCTGCTAAGTTGCTAAGCGGGGTCACCCCACTTAGCAACTTAGCAGCAACTTAGCTAAGTATTGGTGGGACGAGCATGGGACGAGATTCCCTTAGGTTGGCTTAGGATCGGTCCGCAACCAAACCTAAGCCCATAGAAACACCCCTAATGTTCCCAGGGGTACAGCATTCGCATAGCATTTAAGTATCATTCAATATCTTACTCTATTGCAAGTATTTCGGACTCAGCTTCGATTCTCTATCTCTGAAGGTAGAGAACGTGAGGCGAATACTAAATTGCCGCCGGCATATTGGCTTCACTGTGAATGAGGCGGAATTGAATATTGTATTCACTTTCTGTTAGCTTTAAGGACCATTGTAGGAAATCTGAGGTCAGCCGCATATCTCCAGAGCAGTGCCTCCAAATTGCTGACCACCTGCGCACCGAGCGGCTAGACGAGGCGATAAATGTTGTCGGTCGGTGAACCTGGTCAGATCGGCACGCCTCCATGTTCAAGAGTGCGCTTGACAACGCAGCAGCAGCAGCTGGATGTCGGACATGGGCTGTGATGAACAGGGAAGCACGTGCGCACACCATTGCAAGCAAGTATCCTGCACCATGCACCGCCGCCATCATTCTCAACCGTCTGGCAACAGCTGGTAGCTGTGAACAGCGCGCATACAATGCCAGCATTGAACAAACTCTGCACACGGACCCCGCCAGCTGCCCAGATGTGGACAGAGCACAGCGCATTGCTGTAACGGCTGCTGTGTCCCAGTGCGCCGCACAGCTGCCTGCTTTTTGGCCTGCCCTTGGTTCTAGGCGCTCCGATAGGCCGCGCCGTGGAAGCAAGGGAAAAGCCATAGGCAATACCGGGACGTAAGGTGCACGCAAATTTCCTATTTAGGTAACATCGCGCACGAAGCCATAACATTGACAATGTTTCCAAACTATTGCTATGTGTAAGCCACGGAACCTAGAAGAACAGTTGTTAGAACACACAGACAACATTGTTATGGGGCATGAAAATGAGGTTGGTCTTATGGTTTGGATCAGTGAAGTTTCGAAACAACTACGTTACGTGTTTTCCTTTTGTGTGTTGTTAAGGTGCAGCGTTGCTGTTCGGAAAGGGGCTGTCGTACACGTGCTTTCTTACAGTTGCTGTTTGGTAACCCTTCTTGATCACGGATAGTCGTTGTAGTTATACACAATTAAGCGTTTCACAGTACGTTAGAATACTTCTGTTGTTAATGTGTTGCTATGGAGCGGCATGGGCAAACGCCGCTGGACTGATGACCAACTGCTTGCGTTGCAACAAGCTGCAGAACGTATAGCTGTAGACACTGGAAGACTTACTGTCAAGCACTTAACAGAAAGCTTGAGGAACGACTCGCGATTTGCCAATGTTACCAAGACGCAACTACAGAACTTCATTTACAAAAGCAATATTGGTAAAGAATTAAGGCATGGTAGCGGCACCAATGAGGCAGCTGTTAACAAAGAACCACCCAAAAAACGCTGTCAGTGGAGTACTGAAGATGAGCAGGCTTTTAAACAAGCATTACAAACTATTGTGGCTACTGGGAAGGAAGCTTCGCCACAGACAATGCTGCAGGAAATGGGGCGTCCCAGTATTTCAGCACGCATGGTGCGGAATCGACTGCGGAAGGAACAAAGTCAAAAAGGTACGGTCGATGATAGTGAAGCGTTTGCAGGTAACCACTGTTTCGCTGACGACATTGCTCCAACGCACAAACGAAGGTGACATCGTTCAAAGCAGTGCTCAAAAGGAGAGCGGTATAGGTACGTTGTTTGTTATGAGTGCATTTCAGAGAAGATTGCTGGAAGAAGCACTGAAGAGAGCGTACCACTGAATACTAGCTGCTGCGACCAACATGCTCTGAATGCCACCCACAAACCCATGCCCACGAAGAAGAAGACGAGTTTGGTGACGAGGCACTACCAGCATTCAACAAAAACAGTGGTGTGCAGAGGTGCACCTATACTTCAGTTGAAGCAGCAGAGGAAGCCTGCAGATATGCCATTGCTGAGTCCTACTCGTATGCCTGCTGCTGCTGCGAACACAAGATGCTCAGGCAATCAGTTGTGGAGGTCACGGAAAACATGTATGACACACTCAACGAGGAGTGGGCTACCAATCTAGCGGGCTGGGTAACACGGCGTGGTGTGGGCTACATATGCCACAAATGCCTTGGCAGCATTCGCTTTCCTTTCACCACCATCCCTGTTCTTGCTTTCCTATCCCTTCCCCTGCCCACTCCCTCCCCCAGCTTCCATGCTTTTATCGTTCTCTCCCCGCGACACCCCTTGCCAATCCATCCCGTCCCAATCCCTGTGCTTCCATCCCTTTGCCCCTTCTGCCCTAACGACTCTTCCCTTCCATCCCGTTGCCTTCAATTCCATCCCCGCCCCTCCCTTGCCAAATAAACCCTCCATGCCGCACACCCATTTGGGCAGGCCATGAGATCGCTTCGGTCTGGTCCGATTCTTCACACTAGCAAACAGGCTGCGCTTGTCTGGGAGGTCCTTGCAGAAGCACACAAGTCCAACGGCTGCACAGGTCAGGCACCTCCACTCCAGGGGCAGGGTGGAGGAGGAGGAAATGCATGTCCGCACGAGGGCAACCGCACACCTGTCAACAATGGCAACACACGGAAGCACAAGCGGTCAACTGCACAGACTGTTGAGACAGTTGATGCAGACTGTTGCGAACTGCCAGATCCAACTCAAGCGCACCATGTTTACGCCAGAAGAGGCTGCTGCCAAGTTTGCCGTTAAAGTACATGAAGTGCCTGACGCCGTGTGCTCAGCATGCCATGAGCTGAAATGGCCCAGCAGTCTGCATGGCATGCGGCAGCGCACGCTTGCAAACATACCACAGGGCGTGCTCGATACTTTCCACCCGACCGGGCAGTCAGTAGCATGGCGTTTCTGCTCCACATGTGCATGCATGGACGCTGCCACGTGCTAACGTGTTTTCCACCTGTGGGACACGCCTGATTGCTATTCATGGATGCTGCGCGCATAGCCAGCGCACATTAACTGCTGCTGCGCGTCAATGGGTGCTTTCGTGCTCTTACTACTTTTACCCAGTGTGGGCAGTGTTGGGCTTCCGTACTGCGTCCCGCGTTTTGGAGCAAGCCCTAGACTTAGAGGATCGGTGCCTACCGTGCGCGTCAGGGATACACTATTGACATGGTTTTCAACATTATGCAAAAGGTCGGACTACCTTCCCCTCCCTGCTAGCAGGCTGTTTGACTGTGTTTCAATGGCGTGTGATTACTGGAGGCACTTCGCTTGGATTTTTAGGGTGGTTTCGCCAAACAAATTTAGGTTTCCAAGCATGGCGGTCTGATTTAAAAAATGTCCGGTGAGGCGCCTGCATGCATACGTTGGGATAGAGGAGGCTGGCAGTGCAGCTAGGGTTTTGCTCTTGTCGACCCATGTTCCCGTTTCCACTAGCTCTACGCACCGCCAGACCTCGCGTCGACTTACGGGGAAGCAGGGTCACACAGGCACGCCCACGGACCGCACAGACGCTTCTACGCATAGCACTGACATGTAATACGCATCCCAACTGTACGACCTCCCTCCACTCCGCTCCACACAAGCCGGCACGCTTACACATCCCTCCTTGGCAAGACTTCACAGCGACTTCGCAATTTTAAAAAGGGGGCGAGCCCCGGTGTCTGCGAAGCTGACGGGTTTCTTTTAGGGCTGTGTATCCCATCTTGTTGACCCGTTGTGGTGCTGTCTCTACGGTTTGTTCCGTTTCTTTTGCAATGTAGGGTTGGGTTCATCACCCGTGTTCCCTTTTAGGGCACCATTGTAACGGTCATTCATTCACTAGCGAAAAAATAATAATAATAATTAAAAACTACCTACAAATTGCTCCGGGCAGCGTAACGCAGTGGAGCGGTTCATGTTTGACCCTGGATGTATGCTAGCACCACCGCCGAGGGGTTAGATACTCAGTGGACTGTTAACCGGTCCCCGTGGGGTGGCCTGTGGGCTGTTTTCCAACATCCTTCTGCAGCGCACGATATTGCTTTTTATCGCTCTGTGAGTCCTACCCAGTATGCTCGCTTCTGAAAGTAAAGACATATATATGCGCCATGCTGCATATGTCTTTACTCTATTGCAAGGAGTAAACCTTTCTTATATATGAATGAATGAATGACCGTTACAATGGTGCCCTAAAAGGGAACACGGGTGATGAACCCAACCCTACATTGCAAAAGAAACGGAACAAACCGTAGAGACAGCACCACAACGGGCCAACAAGATGGGAGACATAGCCCTAAAAGAAACCTCAGGAGGGAAACAAGAGGGTAGAAGCCAACAAAAGGCCCCTCAGCAAACCTCGACAAACTTCATCTAGGGCATAAGACAACCCAAACCGGAAGCCACGAACACACCACCCCAAAGGCATCAGGGCCAAAAAACAGGACGCTCAACGGCCCACAGAAAAAC